TACTGAAAAATACAAATGTTTGGAGTGCATTTTTTGGCAGTTTTTTGGAGTTATGATTAGAGTTTAGAGGCAGGTTTTATAATAAACAAGTATTAATAGGTTTTAGAGGCTCAAATAGAAACCTCTCATTTCATTTTAATCTGATTTTATTATAATCTGTGACATAAAATATTTTTGAATCCATTTACAAAAGTCTCTAAAATAAAAAGCATTATTCTAGCTATCTCAGTAACGTAATGAAAATTCGGATAAACACTCTCAACCACGATTACATGCATTATACTTTCGTAATTAACATAATAGTGAAACACAAGAACAATCATTTATTCAACGGTCTGTAGATGCCGAACAACATCGACAAATAAGGCTTCTCAGGAGAATTCAACTATTTAAAAATAATTATCAAGAGGTATTGTTGTATACCAGAATATTTTCAGATGAAATAAATATCGGAAGAATGAATGTTATTTGTGAAGCTTGTGTTGCCTTTCATTTTGCAGGTGAATGTACAGATCGAGATTCGGAAATTTTTGCTTCATACTGTCAAAAAGGTGCTATTATTCTTGAAAAACCTTTACCTTTTTTAAATGAATTAAGAGTTCTATTTGAAAAAAATCATCTTTTATCATCTGAATTTTTCAAGCATATTTGAAATTATAATGCAGCTATGGCATTCGCTTCTATTCCGTCTAACATTGAAGTTCCGAGTGGTCAAGAACCTTGTATTTATCATATTTATAGCTAAATATATCATTTTCTTAGTTCTGCAAACTCTGCACCTGGTGAAATACCTACCTTCAGCTAACTTTACTTTTTCGATACAGGTGAAGCGAGTAAATTAAGATCTCAACATCCTACAAATATTGATCTCAACTGTGAATTGCTTAATTACCTTGAACAAATTATTCGAAATATGAGTCTATATGCTTATACATATAAACTTATGCGAGAAATTTCAGATAAAGAAGATCTATATGCATGACTAGAAAAAAGAACTATGATAAATGTACGACAATAATCGATGGTTAGACCAACGACGATATAATTTACCTCTAACTAATGAAGTTGCTGCGATAATTGTTGGTTCTAACAATAAACAGTTTCCTTTCCATCAATTGGTTGTCTGTTCCTGTGCTTTAGATTTACAAATCATACCAGTTATTAATCTAAATTGTGATCCTATGTCTTATCCACTCCTGTTTCCATCTGGAGATAAAGGATAGCACCCAGAAATATCACGTTAATGTAAAAAGAACATATCAATGCTTCAGTTTTATGCATATCATATATCCCAAAGAACTGTCTTTAATCTGATTTTAAAAAGTTGATTATTTTTTTAGCAATATTTAGTTGATGCTTATATTAAGGTTGAAGAAACTAGATTAAATTATCAATATAAAAATCAAGCTATTCTTCAGTCAAAAATATATCATGGGTTAGCAGATTATTTGGCTACTGCTGCTAATAATCGTAGTATCATGTCTAGTAAAGTTGTTGTTCTTGCATCGAGTTTTCAAAGAGGCTCTCACAATAAACAACAAAATTATTAAGATGCTATTATGATTTGTTGTAAGTTTGGCAAGCCTGATCTATTTATAACAATTATATGCAATCCATTGTAGTCAGAAATAACTGAAAACCTCTATCCTGATTAAACTGCAATAGATCGTCCAGACATTGTAGCCAAAGTATTTAAAGTAAAACTCAATCTGTTAATAAAAGATCTTATAAAAAACTACATATTTGGCAAGGTTGTAGCTTTTACTCAAGTTATTGAATTTCAGAAATGTGGTCTTCTTCATTGCTATATACTAATTATTTTGGCCAATGATGATAAACTCCATGATAGTAACATGATTGACCATTTTATAAACTGCAAAATTCCTAACTCATTCAAACACTCTAGGCTATTTAATATAATTCAAAAAATGATGATTCATGGTCCTTGTAGATATTTAAATCTTAATGCTCTATGTATAAATAAAGAATATATTAATGTCTGTATAAAGGGTTATCTAAAAACTTTTCTTCAAAAAACAATAGCAAATAATGATGGATTTTCTAGCTATCGATGCAGAGATACTAGAAGAATGATAGTAGTTAGTCACTATAAAGTTAATAATCAATGGATAGTGCCTTATAATCCATATCTGTTATTAAAGTATAATGCTCACATCACTGTTGAAATTTGTTCTAGTATTAAGAGTTTTAAATATCTATATAAATATATTTTTAAAAAATATGATTGTGCAAGAATTAAAATCAATTTGACAAATAGAACACAAATGCTTGATTTCAATGAGATTGACTCTTTTGTTGAGTCTTGATATATTAGTGCACCTGAGCTTTTTGGAGGCTAAGTAAATATGAAATGCAAGAAAAGTCATATACAATTATTCAACTTCCTGTTCATTTACCAGAAGAACAAAATGTATACTTTATTGCTGATAAAGAACAAACTGCTTTAAATCAAGCAAGATCAGAATATACCATGTTAACCATTTGGTTCAAACTTAATGAAAAAGATGATCAATCAAGAGAAATACTTTATCATGATATTTCTCTTTATTATAGATTTAATAAGCAATCTAAATCATGGCGACGACAAATTCAAAATACCAATAATGTTATTGGACAAATGTATAGTGTTAGTCTAAATAACTTAGAATGCTATTGTCTTCATCTTTTGCTTTTACATATTTCTGGTGCACAAAGTTTTAAAGATCTCAGAACTATAGATAATACACTTTACAGTTCATTCTATGAAGCTGCTTGCAAACATGAGTTGTTAGATGATAATAATAAGTAGATTTGATCTCTGAATGAGGCAATTCAATGGCAAATGCCAAAAGAGTTATGACAACTCTTTATAACAATTCTAATTTGGGGCACACCACAAAACCCTGTACAACTTTGGAATGATTTTAAACAGCACTTATCAGAGGATTATGAAAACATTATGATGCTAATACTGCTTTGCTGTTAGCCTATATTGATATTAATAACATATTACGAACATTTCATAAATCTTTAGCTAATAGCTTTAAGATACAAGGACCTCAAACCATCTCTCAAATAATATATACTACTGGTCTCTTTAATAGAGAAGAAGAGACAAGGCGAGGACAAGAAATGTATAATAAACTTAATTCAGACCAATTAATTGCTATAGGTGAAATCCTTTTTGCAGTTGAAGGGCAAACTTCTAATACTTGCTTTTTTGTCAATGATCTTAGTAGCACTGGAAAAACATTTCTTTATTGGACTCTATATCATATTCTTCGAGGATATAATATCAACCTTGTAACAATAGCCTGGACTAGAATTGCTGCAAACATTTTGCCAAATGACACAACTATCTATAACTGTTTTAAGATACCTTTAAATTTGTTAGATACATCAACGTTACAATTGTCAGCAAATAGTCATGAAGCTAACATTATTCTTCAAACAAAAGTTATTATCTGGGATGAAGCACTTATGGCCTTAGCTCGAGCTTTAGAAATTATAGAGTCTGGTTTATATGATCTTACACAAAATATAGCACCTTTTAGTAGAAAGATTATGGTGCTCAGTAGAAGTTTTTGGCAAGTTCTTCCAATTTTGTGACATGGTTCTCATGCTACTCAAGTCAATGCAAGCATAAAACAATTATTATTGTGGTTATTGTTTCAAATACTTCAACTTAATCAGAACATGCATATTGACAAAAATTGAGATAACTTTGCAAATTGGCTTCTTCGATTAGGCAATAGATTACTTCCTGCACTTGATGATGAAATTAAAATACCATCTAGATGTATTACATCAAAAGATCTAATTTCTGATATATTTGAAAAACATCTATCAGGATATAACTTTGAAAATCTATATGAAAAAGTCATTTTCTGTTCCACTAACAAGGAATACTTAGCTCTAAATGAAGAAATAGTTCGTAAACTTTCTGGTCACCAAAAAATCTATACAAGTATTAATAAAGCTATTTGCGAATATAGAGAAGATCTGAGTCAACATCTCAAAGACTACCTTTACTCATTGATACCAAATGGTTTACTACCCTAGAAATTAAGTCACAAAAATAGTTTTGTTATAATATTACTATGAAATTTTGATGTCAATCAAGGTTTGTGTAATGGTGCAAGACTTGTTGTCTGATGCATACAAGATCATGTTCTCAACTGTGAACTAATGACAGGAGAATTGCAAAAAAAAAGAGTGCTTATTTCTAAAATTAAGTTACAACCAATGGAAGAATTCCTACATTTGGTAGCAGAGCAGGGTGAACTAAGAGCTGAGGTGGAGAATTTAAGAGATTTAATTGAGAACATTCCAGTTCCGAATTAATTTTCTTTTTCTCTTTTCTTTTTTTCTTTCTTTTGTTTCTTTCTCTTTTTTTTTTAAATAAAATTCAATTGTTTAGCTCCTTAAGATGTTTTCATGTTGTTTTGTTACTGTTTCACATCCAACTTTATTCATTTTAAATGGCGAAGTTGTCCATAGGGCTCATATTCCCTAAATGTGAAAAGTAATGTCCATTTTATATCCAACTTTACTCGAATTTTGGATGGCGAAGTTGTAGTTAAGGCTAATATTTCTTAAATATGAATCTTTTTATATTCAACTTATTCAAAGTTAAGTGGCAGAGTTGTTTATAGGGCTCATATTCCCTAGATATAAGATATAATTCCCAAAGTTTAAATGCATTCTTAATAATGTTCTTTTGTTTCTCCTAATTCATAAAATTTTCTTTTAGATAACAATTAAGAAAGTAAATAAATATAATAAATAAGAAAAGTAAATAAAAATAATAAATAAGAAAAGTAGATAGAAATAGCAAATAAGAAAGTGAATAGAGCTCCAACCATTGCTCTAAACTGTCCTAGATACTATATTATACTAGGCCCATACGAAAGATAAAAATAAAATAAAATTTTTTTTTTTTTACAATATTTTTTATATTTTCTCTTTTTTTTTTTATATACATATTTTTTTAAATCAAAGAGTTAATAACTATAAATAATAATGAATAAATAATAAATAATAAATGAAAATAATTAATAACAAAACAACACACTCTTTCCACTGATCCCCAATTTTGTAAACAAAACAAAAAATTTGAAAACTTCATAGTATAGTCTTCGTTAAAGCAATATTAGATTTAACTTTGTTAAGTTTAATACTGTTGGGAAAACAAAAGCCACAAGTAGCTGACAATGGTCTGGTTGCTAATTAATAATTAGTAGCTCTAGTAAAGAGCAAACAAAGTTTTTCTTTGTTATTCTCGACTAGTACATACTGATTAATAGGGGCCTACCCCCAAACATAATTGCTCTGTTCTTCTTAAGGTACCAAAGATATTAAATTATCTAGGAGGCTATAGAATTTGTCTTCCCTTTAAATTTTATTATAAACAAGATTTTAGTTTTCTAGTAATAACATTCTTATTCCTATATATTAATTTTTACAAAATTTCTTTGAAAAATTTTTTGAGAAATCGGTGTTGACCCTGAAAATTGGAGATCAAACGCATGACTATCTGTCAACAACAAATAATGACAAAACAAGAAAGACGCATTTCCTTTTTAGGAATCAACATTTTTATAGCAGTAAACAACAAACACGTAGTCTAAGTAAACAACAAATCAAAGAAACTGTGCACATATAAAGTAAACAAACATAAATCAAGAATACACATGTGCAAAATTAAACAAACATATATCAAAAAAGAGAAGCTTCTAGAAACAAATAGAACTTAATAAAGAAATACTGGTTACTGACGGGCTCCTTGAATTTATACATGGGACAGCAGGTAAAGTACTTAAATATCTAAACAATAGTAAGTTGTTAGATATTCTACGTACAGCAAATCCTACAGAACCAGACAATATAGAGCAATTGGCAAAAGACCTTGCAATCAGCAATCCAGAGAGAATTACAATATTCGACATGCTTTTATATGGCCAAATACGTGATGCGCTCAAGAAAGCAGAAAAGCTCCTGCAACAAGATACCATTAAGCAATAGGCAGTACAAGCGAAAATAGCAAGTAATAACGCAAATAATTATGCAGTAATTCATACGAATAATCCAATTCCATTACAATGCAAATTGTTTTATTTTGAAATTGATATTATAAGTGAAGAAAATGGGTAAGAAACAAAACATCTGACAACATTAAATAAGATTTATTTCCTTACAATGTCTTAATTCTTTTTGAAGAATTATTGCAATTGGATTTTGCACCAAATTGGCTGAACTAAATAAATTACCTGGTAATTACAGAATTTAATTTTTATTATTCATAAAAATATATTATTTAAAAATATATTATTTATACATTTATTATTTATAGGATGTGGCAAGAATTCATGGGGATATCATAGCAATGATAGAAATTTTTCAATTGTTCAGAGCTTGAAGAACCATATGGTCCTACATTTAAACCAGTGATACTATTGGTTGCTGTTTAAACTTTAGAAATAATACCGTATTATATACCAAAAATGGCATGAATCTAGGTAATTATTTTTTAATTCCTAAATTTATTTGAGAGATAAAAGTTAATAATTAATTGTTTTAACCCAATTTTAAGGAATTGCATTTCGAGACTTAAAAGATTTAAAGGGTAAACTTTATCCCTGCATTGGAATAAGATCAAAAGATGAAATATCTATAAAGGCGAACTTTGGACATGAAAAATTCAAATATGCAGATAAATATGAATATGTTTTATCTATCATTGAAATTACATGTATAAGTTTTTTTTAAGCTTATTGTACTGTAATATCATTATTACCTTCATGAATAGCAATAACTAATGATGATATTGATGATTGGTTGAAAGAAAAATGGATTAAAGCTCTTGAACAGCGCAATAATGAAGATAAAGACATGATTGAAGATTTTATAAAGTCGTTAGAAATTAAACAAAATGATGAATTTGCATTAAGATATCGTGCAAAGGCACATTTTATTATGGGAAAATATAAAGAAGTGCTTGCAGATTTAACTAAATTGCTTGAAATTGATCAAAATAATGCATTCGCGTTAAGATATTGTGGAGAAACTTATCTTATATTAGGAAAATATGAAGAATCAAGTGCAGACTTGAAAAAATTACTAGAAATAGACCAAAATGATCAATGGGCATTAAAAATCAGTAGTGAAATTAATAGGCGGTAATCATCGTAAATAATCATTATAATTTATTGTCAACAAAATAGAATTAACTATTAATTATTCATTCTCTATTCTGTTATCTGTTTTATCTTCATGTTAAATCAACAGGGTGTAAGTGTTGAATTTTATTCATATATAAAAATAATCATTATAATTTATTATCAACAAAATAGAATTAACTATTAATCATTCATTCTCTATTCTGTTATCTTATACTAAACTAATAGTGAGTAAGTGTTGAATTTTATTCATATATAAAAATAATTATTATAATTTATTGTCAACAAAATAGAATTAACTATTAATTATTCGTTCTGTTTTATCTTCATGTTAAATTAACAGGGCGTAAGTGTTGAATTTTATTCATATATAAAAATAATCATTATAATTTATTGTCAACAAAATAGAATTAACTATTAATT